CAAGAACCATCATTTCTTAAGCTTTATATTTTGAAATAATTTCAGGGTTATAGAAAAATTAATAAAAAATACAATGGAAAGGGGTTAATATCCAAAATCTATAAAGAACTTAAACAACTCAACACCAAAAAAACCCACAAGTAATCTGATTAAAAATGGGCGGAGGACCTGAATAGACATTTTTCCAAAGAAGACATACAGATAGCCAACAGACATATGAAAAGATGCTTAACATCACTAATCACCAAAAAAATTAACATGAGATACCACCACCTGTCAGAATGCCTAAAATCAAAAACATATGGAATAACAAGTGTTAGTGAGGAAATGGATAAAAAGGAACCCATGTGCACTGTTGGTGGGAATGCAAATTGGTACAGCCACTGTGGAAAACAGTACAGAGGTTCCTCAAAAAGTCAAAAATAAAATTACCATATGATCCCAGTAATTCCACTACTGGATATTTACCCAAAGAATATGAAATCACTAATTTGAAAAGATATATGCACGCTTACGTTTATTGCAGCAGTATTTACAATAGGCAAGATATGGAAACAATCCAAGTATCCATAGATCAATGAGTGGATAAAAAAGATATGGTGTGTGTGTGTGTGTGTGTGTGTATGTATATATATACATATATATATATGCAATGGAATATCACTCAGCCATACAAATGAATGAGATCTTGCCATGTGCCACAACATGGATGGACCTAGAGGGTATCATGCGAAATGAAATAAGTCAGAGAAAGACAAATACCTAGGATTTCACTCATATGTGGAATTTAAGAAACAACAACAAACGAAAAAAGAAAGAAAAGGAGGGACAGACTAAAAAACATACTCTCAAATACAGAGAACAAACTGGTGGTTGCCAGCGGGGAGGTGGGGAGAAGGAATGGGTGAAATACATAAATGGGTTTAAGAGCACTTATCTTGATAAGCACTAAGTAATGTATAGAATTGTTGAATCATTATGTTGTACACCTGCAACTAATATAACACTGTATGTTAACTATACTGCAATAAAAAAAGCTGCACCTCCTTAAAAAATACAAGATTTCCAAAATGTTAACAATTCACCATTTTTCATCATCCTCCTTCTCTTTATATATACGTGAATACACAAACACACACACCCGCATTTTTTTTTTTTTGAGAATCATTTGAGAGCAAGGTGCTGACATGATATTCCTTTACCTCCAAATATTTGTGTGTTTTAGCAAAAACAAGGATATTCCCTTACATAACCATAGTATAAATATAAAAAAATTAACATTTTCTTTTATTTTTTTAAAGATTTTATTTATTTGAGAGAGAGAGAGAGCATGCACAAATATGGGGTGGGGGCCGGAGAGGGAGAAGCAGGCTCCCCGCTGAGCAGGGAGCCTGAAGTGGGACTTGATTCCAGGACCCTGGGATCATGACCTGAGCTGAAGGCAGATGCTTAACCGACTGAACCACATAGGTGCTCCCAAAATTAACAATAATACTATTATGCAATTTACAGAGTTTATTCAAAATTTACCTATCTCAATAATGTCCTTTTCTAACAACAACAACAACAAAATGTCTTTCCTGGTCCAGGATCCAAACTGGAATCACTTGTTGCATTTTAATTATGTCTCTTTAGTCTCTAATTTGGAGCAGTTCCTCAATATTTCTTGTTTTTCATGACCTTATCATTTTTGAAGAATATAGGTCATTTTGTACAATGTCCCTCCACTGGATTCACCTGATGTTTCCTCATGACTGGATTCAAGCTATGCATTTTCAGAAGGAACCCCATCAATGTTTGCCCTTCTCAGGAGACACATGATACTGACTTGTCCCACTACTAGTGGGGTTAACTCTTGATCACTTAAAGTGGTGTCTGCCAGGTTTTTCTTCTGTAAAGTTACCATCTTTACTCTTCATGGAATATTTTACCTAGTTTGAGACTACGTAAATATTCAGATTTTCATTAAATTCTCACCTAGTAGTTTTAGCATTTGTCAACCTAAATAAAGAGGTAAATTGAGGCAAACTCAAATTACTGGAAATTGAGTTTATTCAGGAATAGCAGAGGAACTACAATTCAGGAAACACACTCAAGCTATAGGTGAATCTGTTGAGATTTCAGGATGGGCCATAGTTTTGAACAAGGAGTGCAGACAGGAAGACCAGCCAGACCAGCCAGAGTCCAGGCAGTAAGTTCATTGGATTGAGGATATATGTTCATTGGTCAGGAGATAAATGTGGGTCTTCTAGAAATTAGGCATTTATGAGAAATCAGTCTCTCCGTTCCTAAATTCTGTTCTGAGGGCACATGGATGAGAGTCCCCATTTCCCATCCTCTGGTTCCATTTTAGACTGAAATCCTTTCACATATCCTTTGATGATTCTTGCCCGAAACAATTACTACTATGGTAATTGCCAGATGGCAATTTCTAAATGCAATATTCTTTTTACATTAGCTGTCATTCTCTTGTAAGGAAGACCTCGCTCTTCTTCCACTGATTCACTTATTTCGTCAACATTAAAAATAAAATACGCAGTTATTTTACTAGCAAATTAGTTTATTCAGAAATAGCAGAGGCATTGCAATATGGGACACGCAAGCTATGGTGAACCGTAGGCAAATCAGAAGGGACAAAGGGAAAGTCAGCTTTTATGAGGTTTGAGGAGGAAATTGGGGAGGGTTGTTTTGAACAAAAGTTCATGGGAGAAGAGCAAGAGTTTAAGGTTGTGGCAGTTTCTCATTGGCTGCAAGCGATGGTTAGTGCTTTGTTGCGGCGGGGAGGGAGCTTCCTTTTTTTCTGAAAAGCAGAAAATGAAATTCTATATGAAAAATGTCTTTCCTTGTCAAGATAATTCTTATCTTCCTTCTCTCTGCTGGTTATGCAGGCTGCAACAAGTGGTACGTGCGTGAGCGCTCCCCGTCAGGCTGACTCCATTATTTTAAGTGATGTGTCCTTCATTAATTTTCACAATTTCTATCTGTATGGGCTCACGGTTTCTTGTTTTATTCATTACTATCATTATTTATTTTAATGTTCAGTTGTCCCAGATGGGCTGGTGGGACGCCCCTCAATCTGCCTGTGTCCTTTAGCCATTTTCCCATCATTCTTTGAGCACTTCTTTGCTTTCTGACAGAAAGGGATATTCCTGCTCATATTGTGCTTTTCCTGCCCCAGCCCAGGAATCAGTCATTCTTCTAAGAAGCCTGTTTTTGTTTTAAGTAGAAAATTTTAAAACCAAGAACTGAATGTGAGGCATTCTCACTGTTACTGCGCTGTCACCACTTCTAGGCCCTCTTAGAGGACAGAAAGAGTAAATACATGCGTGGGTGTGTACGTGGGTTTCTACATACTTACTTATTTCTGTTAATCCGTATGTATTAAAAAACCATGTGTCTACTGATGCTTCCAATTCCAACCCAGTACCACAGAGGGGGAAAAACATCATTTACAATTACTATCTTGAAACTGCGTCAAAACTCATAGACTTGAAGTCGTTAAATTTGCCATGCTGTACAATAGGAACTATGAGACATTCTGGAACTGGGTAATGCCAGTCATCCACCCATCATCTTAGAAACTCATGCTCGGTGTGCTAGGTACTTGGCTAGAAATATGGAAATGAAAAAGACTTTCTCCCTTTTCTCAAGCAGCTCAGTCTATGAGAGAGGGTAGGAGAAAATAGATAATTACCATGCAGTACAATAAATTCTGTATTAGAGGTATTCAATGTTCTATGGGAACAGAGAAGGGGGGTACCTAGGCCAAACTGAGTAAACTAGATTGCTTCAGAGAAGAAAATAAAAACAGGTCGCCCACACTACTTGCTGTTAGAGTTCTTAGATTACTGCATGTTTACACAAAGTGAAGAGTGTACCTTTCTTCTGAGCAAAAGTACACTTTATGGAGAGTTCTAATTTATCTAGAAGAGTTCTCTGCACTGATTGAATTCATCAAAAATCTGCAGCCATGACAATATCTAGGCAGGTAAGTTCCAAGGGAATCAGTGTTCGCTTGTGACACCCAAGTTGGGGTTTCCCCTCTTTCTTCCAGGCCCTGGTCAATGGCCATAAAATAAGGGAAGAGTAGGTTTTGATTTTTTCAACTGCCTATATCCCAAAGTAAATGAACTGACTTATTTGCCATTACATTTATTGGCACCTTCTTGAGCCAGAGAATAGTTTACACATCCTGACTTTCTTCTATCTAAACTTAAACTCAAGAAGAGGATGAAGGAGAGAAGAAGATTTGTGTGCATGTGTCATCTCTGAAGTAAAGTCAGAGGCAGAAAATTGGGGAGAGAAAATATTAGGATAAAAATTGAGAAGGATTTTATTATTTTTGTTGTCATATATATAGTATTCTTATCAAATTTACCTCTAGATTTCTTCTTCTTCTTTTTAAAACATAAATGGGGGCTATCTTCTGGTTTGTGCTCTCTTTGCCAGTTTCCCCAGTTGTTAAGTCTGCTCACTCTAATATTGTTTATTTCACCAATTTAGAAGTCCCAGACTAGAAAGTTGCTCAGTACGATGTGCAAGTAAAGATCACCAGAACCAGGAGCCTGATCTTCACATGTCTTGCTATCTCCCATTCTGCTGCTTTAGTACAGAAAAAAGTAGAACTAAGACATATAATTATGCCTTTTTTGTCACTACAGAGTCAAACATGACTGAAATGTTTGTTTGTTTATTAGGTGGCCTTACATCAGAGAAGATATAAAATCATTCGGGTCATGAAATACTCCTGATAAATAATAAACTTCAAATGTTAATAAGGACACTGGAGTTTTTTCGTATGCTTTTTAAAAGAAATGTAATTTTAGGTAACCATAAAGCTGAGGCAAAGGTAGTTTGGGTTCTTAAAAAGAATCCCCAGCCCTCATTAGCTGCCGCCGGGTGCAGAAGCACCTGTGCTCACTGCGGAGGTGGATCAAACTGAAGGTGCCAGGCTTGTGTCAAAGGTCCGTGTCGCTTGTGAGACCCAGCAGCAGGAGTCCCTGCAGAAAGCATGGGTCGTACACACTGGCTTGCACAAGGAACAATAAGAAAAATATGCCACCGGGTGGGGGTTTTAACATCTGCAATGATTAGTGAAAACTTCTTTGAAAGTGAGAGTTTTTAATTACTTTATTGTATAGTAGATTCAATTTAAAGGCTTTAACCATCCATAAACACCATGATACAATATGTATGTGTATATATGTAAAAAAAATACCCACTGAACATGCTTTAAGAGGTGTAATTGTGTTTTGAAATCTTGCCACATGAAATATACTTTGATACAAAAAAACAACTAATCAGAAGCATGAAAAACAGTATGTTTTAATAAGAGCCTATTGCAGATTCTGGAATGATTGTTGCATGCATGTCCCTAGTCATGTTGGACTTCTCCTTCAGTTTTGATTGGAGTAATGTGTGTTCCACAACACCAATTCTGATGTCCATCTGAACGGTTTCTTGCTTCAGCTTTGTTAAGCTCTGTTTAATCTTTACCAAGGGAGCTGCAGAATGAAAATAACATGCAATAAAAATGTTCATTTGGAGTATCAGTGTATTACAGAATTGTATGACATTCTCCTCACTTTGTCTTAAGCCAAAAATAGGGTTAAAAACACCGCCAACAACATACTGACATTCACACAGTTTTGCTGTGGTATTTTAAACACCTGAGATTTAGGATGGGAAATGACGCAGCATTTGATACTGAGGTTGAATTTCCTTCCTTTTCTCGGGGAAGAGTTACTAAAGGGGTATTTAAGGATGTCTTTAATAAGTTTTATGGGCTAGAATATTTGTCTGAAGGGAAGGGGATACAATGTGAGAAAAGAAGGAAGAAAGAATTACCTGAGAGGTAGAGATAATGGGCTCATTCAAACATACTGCAAAACCTCTAAATGCCCTCTTTTGAACGATCACTCAGTATATATCATCAGAACTCTGGAAAATCTTTCTAGAACACAGAAGGGCCTTAGACAGTAAACCAGGGCCCTGCCAAAGTAACTAGCTCACGATGGAGCATGATTACTAGAGAATTAGTAATTCTTCTCTATTTGACCCCTCTGCCCAGTCAGGCCCACTGTGGGGAGAGGAAGAAAAACAAAGGTCATCCCATCGCTGTCTTCATGCCATTTGGGCACACACTTAGTGCTCTTTTGCACATAAAATGGAATAATGAAGCTCCTTTGATGAAAACAGAAAATACTATTTTTTGAAAATTGGAATAACAAAGTGTATACTTAAGTATTTCCCACTCTATCTCTGAATCAACTCAGTTTGAATCAAAAAATCCTAAATAAGGGTAAAAAAAAGTATGACTCTCCTCAGCTGACTGATGAGGAAAACGGTACATGGATTATCAGACATCATTTTTGCACCATGTACCTACCTCTCCTCAAATTCATTTTAAAAAGCAGACTCCCAATTTATTAATCGTATTTTGTTAAATAGATTTCTTGAGAAATACTCTCCTCTTGCTCGTTTTCCCCGTGGGAGAAGCGTGTACTCACCACCATCAGTCATGCTGCTGCCTTTTTCTTCCATTTCTTGCTTTACCTTCTCTAGTTCTTCCGTCACCTTTAATTTAAAAAAAAGAAGTTTTCATGAGCTCTGGATTTTAATAAACTTTCACAATTATTGAATGATGTAGTACGAAAATTTATATAATACATCTGTAAAGGGACACAAAAATATTAGGAGTGTTCTGGACATAATCTGAATAATAAGATAAAGTAGGCAGATACACAAAGGTTTTTGTCTTCTGAGAGTGCTCCTAACATTAAACTTCACCAAATGACGTTCTCAGGCTGTCACATGACAATAAAAAAAACCGATCTAAGTTGTGGTTTTAGGCCCCAGACACGCAAACCTTGCAGTTACCTCCTAGCAGCTACCGTGCCAGTCCTTTCTGGTTTTTTTAGAGAAGGGCGAGTGGGGCTGGGGGTGGGGAGGGGCAGACAAGGAGGGAGAGAATCTTAAGCAGACTCCACGCCTGATGCGGGGCTCCGTCTCACCACCCTCTGATCATGACCTGAGCCGAAATCAGGAGGAGGCCGCCCAACCGATGGAGCCACCTGGGCGCCCCAACCATGCCAGTCTTTAATAATGAGTCATTAATTAAAACCATATACACATCCTGAGAAGATTTTGCATTTCTAAGGCTTACTAGGTATCTTTCTTAATATTATAGTTTTATAAGAGAAACTATAATATTATAGTTTTATAAGAGAAACCATCTTTTCCTCTATAGGATGCTAAAAATAATGTTTATACCATATGGCTGTACATAAAAATATTCCAACTGCTCTATCCAAACCATGAACTCCAAGAGGCATATTGTGCTGTCACATTGGCTCCTGTCTGTACTCTACATCATACTCAAAATTATACTACTACAGCCTCTATTAGCAAAATTCCAACCTAGCATATTATCTTTGAAAAATCAAAAAATTTTTATATGACCTAGAACTAAGCCATAATTATCGTAACTTAGTAGGCTTTATTTTTATCATACTGGTGAGTAAAAACTTCCTTGGGAATAAAGTGCTCATCCAAGTAAAGCAAATTAATTTTTTTTAGGCACCTGCTATGTTACAACTGGGGATAACGACCTCCTCCAAAAGAACTAAATGGGCCCCTGGACTCCCTTCAAGTGTTAATTTACCTAACGTAAGTGAGCACTTTACTTCTACATAACATTCTATTTGCCTAGAAGCACCACAGGGTTAGGGTCTAAATATTTCTGAAGTTAAACTTTCAGTATTCTAAAATAACTATGCCTCAAATAATCTCTATAAAAGAAGCTTAATTCTATTATATAGAAAAAGTCTGGGACAATTACCGAAGATAATCTTGTACATTGGCTATTGACCTTGTTGTAAGATTTTTTTTTTTCTCTCAGCTCTTCAGTAAAAAATTGGAATATATATTAGATCTTACCCTCTTGCCTGATGATGAAAATCAATACAACACTATATGCAAATATTTCAGAAGTTCCCAGAGGGAAAGGGTTACAAGCCACTTCCAGTTTGTGGACAGAGAAATACTCAGGCTCACATACATCAGCAGCAATCACGAAAAACAAATCTTACATCTTACAGACTAACATTAAAATTTGTATAAGACATTTAAGCCAGTGCTTTACCTACTCTTCTATATATTAATCATAATTATTAGGTTTTTAAAAAGATTAAGGAAGGTTATAAATGTGCTAATATTATCAGCAGGTTCTATGTTGAATTTAATAAAACAACTTCAGGCATTTTGTGGACACAAACAGTATATACATACATAATTGGTTCATTGATAAGAAAACTAGGGACTGCCTCCTAGGGAAAAGCACGTAAAGCCCCGGGGAGCGGTGACTGAGGTCAACAAGGCCCGGCTGTAGCTGTATCGAGCCGCCCACGGCTCGGCGCAGCCCGGGCTCAGCCCACATTGAGAGAAAGAGTAAGAGCACAGCGTGTACCTCAGACAGGAGCCTGGTCCTCTCCGTCACTCCGCCGTTACCCTGCTGGTAGCGCTCCCTCGCCTAAGGGAGGAAACATTTTGTTTAATGACAAATTCAAAACAGAAGCAGATTACTTAAATGTGACCTCTTTGTGTTTGCAGTTTCTGCGTATCATTTTATGACAACCCCCCCTCCTCATTTGTGAACACATTTGTGAAAGTGACATTTAACTGTAGCTGTTTTATGTCCCTAATAGGCACCATGTATTTAAACGAAGGCACTATAAAATGATAAACTACCTTAACCTTCATATACTGACTGTGTAACTCACATGGGCATGGCTCACAATAAAAACTGTCCTCAGCTGTTCCTACACGGTTTAGGAGAGTAGCTCTTGGTCGATCTAATTTGCATGCTATGCAGAGAAAACCAGTTCTAAAAAATCAATCATAATAGAGCATCAGGATGAGTAATTAATAAGGATTAACAAATGGGTATGACAGTATGGAATATGTTCTTGGGAACTAATCTAACAATTATTTAATATCAATGTTTGACAGATACACAGTGGTTTTCATCAGAGACTTTTACAGCATTTTGAGAGTAAAAACATCCATGAGTAGATGTGTATATGAGAGAATAATTTGTTAAATAAATGACATAATAAAAAAGTGAAGATTATTTTCTGTTTGGTCTTTGAGAACTTCTGGAAGTACAGAGGTGTCTCAAGTTTATTTCCATTTTTTTCTGTTCTTGCAACCTTGTTCGCTAAAAGAAAAAAAAAAGTCTTCAAGTGACATTTGCAAGTGTTCTCACTAGTCTTCCTCAGCGTCAGGAGAGAGGGGGCATAACTCCCAAGGAAAGCCTTGAGATCCCCACTGGGGTACAAAGAACTGCTGCTTTCAAAGGCTGAAGGTTTTATTTTGTTGTTGTTGAAATTCTAAAACCTTGAAGGGATTAAAAAATTTGCGCACTAAATTAATTAAACTGCTTGTCTTTGAACGTGTCTTGCTTTCATATTCCTTATTATGGGGCTGTAAGCCATTAAGGCCATGATGTCTTTTCCCTCTGACACATGTAAATGCATACTATTCTTTTTCCTCCTACTCATAGGGTAAGTTAACAGCAGCCTTAGAAACAAAACCAGGTGTCCTGACACTCTGTTCCTGTTCTAAGCAATGTTCCCCAACAGTACAGGCCTTCATTTATTTAAATCAAAAGAAGAAATGCATTTCAAGACTTCTAGAGGATAATTTCTATTACATGTAACATGGAGATGGCAAGTTCCACCGCCTCACGTGGCTTCCTCAAGTGGGCAGAGAATCCATGTGTTGCTGTTTGTGAAAAGCACTTCATGATTCTCAAATGCACAGTGCTGTGTCATGTTTGGGAATTAGGGTCATTAACTGAAATAAATCCCTGGATATCATTCCTAAGTTACCTCACTCAGTTGGGCTTGAGCTGCACGATATTCTTGAACCAAGTGCTCAAGCTGGTTGTTGATGTACTTTTCTCGGCTGCCGATCTTTTCCAGAGTCCTACTAATTTCATTATGAAGTTTATCCAAAAATCCCTAGAAATTCCATAGGATTTTAGTAGGTAAAAGAATTCACAAATATATTTTTCAAAAATAGTCTAAAACGGACTAAATCTCCTTCAATTCATCCCACAAATTCTCAACCACTTGTGAAAAAGAAGATAGCTTGAAATTTTCAATAGCAAAAGAAGTCTGTAATGAGAAATATTTTAGTCACACTTGGCAGAATGTTAAAATAAAAAAAGCACCTGGTAGTGTTAGTCAATTCATTAATCCTTATGCATATCCAAATTGTATATGAGTGGAATTTGCTTTATATAAAGTTCGGAATCAAAGTAGGTAACAGAATAACATGACTTTCTTGTAGCACAGTTCAAAGATGACTAGAATATTCCCGTTGGAGGTAAGTCATTAAATTTATAGCTCTAGCCTGGGACCTGTAACTTCTCATTCCAACTTTGCTTCCTTGTGGCATCCTCCAAAAAGTCCTTATTTCTGTCAGAGCAGCAAGCTTGGGGAAGTTGTAGGTTCTAAGCCTTGCTGGCCTGGTACTTTTATCCCTGGGGATTCAGAAAGAAAAGAATGATGAAATGTTTCTCTAATATGTAACATGTAATATATTAGAGAAACATAATATATATAGATACATTAGATTATCTATCTATATATATATTAGAGAAATATTTCATTACTTCCTTTCTGAATATATTGTATAATTATATATATATTGCATATATATTAAACAATATACATATGTATATATACAACTGTATATATATTATACAATATACATAATGTATACAATTTATATATTGTATAATTTGTATACATATACATACTATACAACTGTATAGTATGTATATTAGAGATATATATCTCTCTATATATTAGGTATATATTATACTGCTTTGATTAGAAAGTTACCCTTCTTTAGTTAAAGTGTTAGGGCTGTTGAAATATAATATGGTACATTCAATCTGTAAGTTCCTCAAAGGCAAGGATTGCATCTTTTTTTTTTTAATGTTCTCCTTTAACAGGTGTTCAACAGATGGGTAAATGTACATTGATTCACCTGAAGTAATTCACATACCTTGGTCTCCTTTAGAGCAGATTCTATTCCACTTTTGTGTTGGTGCATTTGGTCAACGTGGATTCTCCAATCCTATAGGCATAAGAGCATATAGGAACAAGTAAAATATACATTTCCTTCTTTCCTCTACTTTTTTGAAGTTGTATCCTTTATTTTAATTACTTTGGTTGCTGCCCTATTTCAGGTAGGAAAGTCCTATATATAGCTTGCAATCAGATTATAAAGAAATATGTATAGAGCACTTTAGGATTAAAGGTTCTAAATAAATGTAAATTATTTTATGTGTTCACAGAGTGATGTCTGACAATTTGAATATAAATTATTCCTGCACTGCTGGTGGTTAATATTTATGACTACCCATCAAAATGAAAAAAAAAAAAATCTAATTACTAGAAAAGAAATACTTGTTTAAATAGTAACAATCGCCAGAAGCAACTCTGAAATCAAGTATCATATATCAAGTATTAGTTTGTCCCCTGAAAATTAAGATGGGGCCCTTTTTTTCGGAAGATGTCTCCTTCTTAAAAAAGGAAATCTATATGGATTATTAGAGTTCATATATTTTGAGATATATCGCATTACTATTAGGCTGACCCAAATCAGTGTGCATATTTGAAATCTATGCCAACATTTTAATTTCTTACAAGATATCTTCAAAATCTTTTGGTTTACATTACTAAAGGTAACAATTTTAAGACTGGAGAAATACCCACGATGAGAAAAAATATTATGGTAAGTTGAAGTGATGGAAGCAGGATACTCCTCAATTATACATATCTGTTTGCATACCCTGATGCTCTACTTTGCTATCTACACTATTCTGTGAAGAGAAAAATATACTGTGAATTGTCCTCTTCTACCGATTTCTTAACTTTGAAACATGGGCTAGTGACTATAGGGGAAAAAAATCCTGGGGTACATCACACATACCAATGATAAAATTACAATATATTAAAGAACCTCAAAGAGCATCTAGTCTCACCTTTATCATTTCACAGATAAGCAAAAAGAGGCCCAGTGACAGAAAGGGGCACACTCAAAGCCACTCTGGTAGTGGTGCACCTGGATCAGAAGCCAAACGTATTAATTCCCACAGAATAGATTCTGGCAGGTCAGAGTTAATAAAAGGAGCAACCTGCTACTTGACACCAGGGAAGGTGCTAGAGCAGAGAACAAATCAGCACTTCCCTTTGTCCATAAGCATTTTTCCTGTCTCATGAGCAAAAAATATCTCAGAATATGAGAGCTGGGAAGGACCTTAAAGATCATCTACTCATCCATTTAACAGTCATCTGGTGCAACATTTTCATTTTACAGTTGAGGGGACTGTGCATCACCTGTGACTATGACTAGACAGGTTTGGCAAGGAAATAGGCCTCTCCAACTCAGCCAGTCAACACTGGAACGGGGAGGAGAGGTGACTGGCTGGCCTGCTGCAACTGGACCAAATATGGTTAAGCCTCAAAATGGAAACCTGTTTAAGCCCAAGCAAGCATCTTTATGAAAGAAAATGAACGTAATAGGTATCATTATATTAGTAATTTTTCCAAAACAGTACTCGTCCAGCCTGATTCCAAAAAAAATTTTATAAGCTTAATAAACACCAAGTATTTCTACAGTCTCTGTGTCTGTAGATATATGCATGTATAAACACACACATTATATATACATATACTTTATATAGATATCCTTTTATTTATAGTAATCGGTGTTTTAATATAGTTTGTGTTCTGCTTTTTTCTACCCAGCATTATCCTTTACCCAGCAAATGTAAAAACTCTACTTTTTCATGTTCTGATAAAATATTTCTAGAGAATTAAACATGCCTGACTCATCTACGTATAACTATGATAACTTACATTGATGTTAAACTCGGAGGAACTGGCACTGCAGTGCAAGCTTGAAGCATGAGTGGCATTTCAACAGGCTGGAAAGGAGTGGGAGAGGAAGGGTATTTTAGGCTGAGGGAGTAACAGGAACAAGAAAAAAACCGGAAAATATATAGGGAACAAGAGCCCAGGCTGGCTGGAATATAAAACACAAAGTTTTTGGGGTGGGGTAGGGTGGGGTGGGGCAGGTCGGGGAGGGGTGGGGTGGAGAGGATGAATCATGAAGAAGCAAAGCTGGAGAGGTAGGTTAAGTTAGACGGAGGGCTTTCACTGAGGAATGTGCATTTTATCATGTGGACAATGGAGAGCTATTCAAGATTTTTGGTTTCAGTTTTAGGATAAATTTGTGTTTTGAGAAAGTTAACAGAGAAGAACTAGAAGGCCAGAAAGAATTAGAAAGGCAAGAGACTGAAGGCAGGTAGGCAACCAGTTACGAGGCTGTGTAATGGTCCGCGTGGTACATGAGCAGGGTTTGCGGTAGAGCAGTGCCTGTGAGAATGAAAGAGAAGGCATGGGCTCAAGGGACATCGGGGACACAGAACTCGCAGGACTTGAGGACTAAGGGCAAGTGCGGGCTGGCTGAAGTGGAGGTGGGGTAGCAGAGAGAAGTTGTCTTTAAGGTTTCTAGCCTTAGGAACTAAGATATTAGTATTATCAGTGTGAGAAGAACAGATTTCAGGGAGCCAGAAATACTGAGGAATTTAGTTTGGAACTTTTTAATATGATAACCCACTGGGACATATTTATGTATTCTTATTGCCTTTTAAAGTGGAAAGCTAATAATGATTTATAATTATCTGCCACATAAACCTGAATGTTTGTTTAATTAAAATCTAGATGGACACATTTCCTGATGTACAGTTATAAAAAAAAAAAAAAAGGCTTAAAAACGTTCTAACCTTTTAACCCAGCAATTTCACCTCTAGAAGTTATTCTCAAGGAAACATTTGGGGATACACACAAAGACGAATGTACAAGTTCTTGGTAAAACATCTCTGTAAATATTTAACTCTCTAAATATTTAACAGTAGAGGACAGTTTAAACGAATTTTGTAACATCCATTTCACTACTAAAAATAATGCAGTATGATACCATTTTTATAAAGCTCACAATGAAGCACAGCTCAATGATACGTTGTTTGGCGATATACACATATACGAAAACACTAAAACAAAAAAGGAAGAGGAAGAGGAGGAGGAGGGGGGAGAGGAAGAGGAAGAAGTGGAGGAAGAGGAAGCAGCAGCAGCAGCTAATGACAATACATAACATGCAAACGTGAGGACAGTGGTTCCCCACGGGAGGCCAAGGGCAGCAGCAGAATTACACAGGTAATTTCAAGGGCACGTAATGGTCTAGTTCTCAACTTGAGGAGTGGGTTCATGAGTGTTTGTTTTATTACTGGGCTTTATAATATATATGTATTGCCTATCGAAAGGTTAAATTCATGTTTTCAATAAAAACTTACCCAGCAAAAATGCACGTGAACAACATATAGTGAAGTGGAAAAACATTCCCCAAGGAATACACTATTATTGGTCCAATTTAGTAAAAACTAGTATTTGTGTATATTTGTATGTGTATGCATATATTAAGCCAGGAATTTGGATACCGATGTTTAGAATTTCTTATCCTTCCAAAATTTTCCAAATTTCCTACAAGACAATTTTTAATCATCACTTTAATCATCAGGGGGAAAAAAAGTCAAAAACCTCCTGGATGCCCAAGTAGTTCCTGAAAGGCATTTAATACAGTTACAGCAGAAAATATAAGTGATCATACTTGTAACATTTTAAAAACATGAATGTAAAAAGGCAAAATACATAGCTTTTAAAAAACTACAATGGAGATGGTTAAAAAGTTTACAAAGGTTTGTGGTAAGAATGAAGAAGTGATGAAGGACTTGATCCCCAAAATAAAACAGTAAAAGGAACTGTCCAACAATGCTAGCAATCCTTATATTGGTAGAGAATCCATTAGGTTACAACACACTTTTATACACCTTTCCTTATTAGAGACTCACAAAGGTTTGGAGTGCTAAGTCGATTTCTCAGCCCTTCTTTTTCACTTCTACCCTTCCCTGTAAGAGGGTTATGTGATTTGCAGGCCAGCTGTGGGAGGAGTATACTTCCCTGCCCCAGTGATGCTGGCCTTGGCCATGTGATTCTCTCTGGCCAGTGGAATAGCAGTGGGCATGGCCTAGGCCAGGCCTGTGCACACGCTGTAAGAGGCATCCATCAGCCCGCTTTCCCTTTCTCTCAGCCATGATAATAGGCATGCCCCACATCGGGGTTATACTTTCGGCCTGAGTCTGGGACTAAGAAACATGGAACACAGCAGGAGTAGAGCTGCCCCTGAATCACACATCAGCAGACCTGTGTCCTGAGTGAGGGTAAATGTGTTGTTATTACGATTATAAACCACTGTGATTTGGGCTTGTTTTCAATACAGAAAAACTGACTATGTATACAGATTGTATAGGAGGAAAACGAAAAATCAAGTAAGTTAAATGACCTTTCTCAAGTTTCATGTCTGGAAAATGGAAAGCACTCCCAAACCAGTGCATTTTCCACATACCATAGATTGCTTTTCTTTATGATAAAATGAAATACCGCAGAGTATCTAAGGTAAACCAAAATTTTTTTTTGTTACATATCAAGTGAGACCACACGGGCCTCTGGAGTTTACTGGTCACCTGTTCCAAAGTGCTCTAAGTGTGTTCATTAAGCTCATTTCTCCTCTCTATTGCAGTTGAGTTTTTCACTAATCCAGCACATTTCCTCTCTCCGAGGAAATGAGAAGACTAATAATGATGCAGTATATCTTCTTTAGACTTTCTATTTTTAAAAATCCTTTCATACAAAATCTCATATAATTCTGTCACTTTTGAGGTGGCTAGCAAAGGTACTCCTCCCCACTCCAAATTCTTTAGTGCCAAAGTATATCTCTCCCCCTTTCAAAAACTGAAGAATTGCGATGCATATCTGCAGATGGTGATTCACAGCATACCATAACGTCAAAATGTAGGAGATCCAGCTGCAGCTGTTAGGGTGACCAGCAAGACTACATGGAGCTCTGGGTTTTACTTCAACAGCACAACCCCTGAATGATTAACTTTACATATGATGCAGAGACACTTGGTTTGTCCGGATCTCCAACTCAATGCTTCAAGGTCCTCTCTGAAA